TTAATAGATGAAGAATTATAGGATCCTTGAATGTATATATATGGTACTCTACTCTTTGAAATAATACATCAGAATTATTCTTTAAACATTTTTTTACTTATTTTAATAAATATCCAACTCTACATATAAGGACTTTCCTTCTTTTCCAATTTATTAAAATCTATTAGTTTTTATAAATATAAATTGTACTACCTATGCTCTTATTTATAAGCAACAAAAGAACACCTTTTTTTTTCAGTATGATCAAATTGTAACTATGTTTACTTCATTTAATGTTATTTTTTACTACAGTACTCTAACTTTAATTAATGTTATTAGTTGTAGTGTTTTTTCTTTCATGAGTAGGTCATTTTAGGTTACGGAATGAACTTCAAAAACAAGAAATGTAGGTTCAATACATCATTGGTACCATAGTTCAAATAATTAGGGAGTTTAGTTATGACTTCTGCACATGAATGTAGACTTTGTTATGAATACATCTTTCTTATTTAAAAATTAATAATGATGTCCCCGCACTTTTATTTTCAACAAGGATGCTCTACCATGAACAAAACATACATCCTAAGTCACAAAATGAACTTGAAAAACAAGAAATGTAGGTTCAATACACCATTTGGTAACATAGTTCAAATAATTGGGAAGTTGAGTTATGACTTTTGCACTTGAAGGTAGACTTTGTTCTGAATACATATTTCGTACTTAAAAATTTTATAATTATGTCTACACACCTTTATTTTCAACAAGGATGGTCTACCATCACAGAATGAACATCACACAGTTTTGTCCCACACTCCATTAATTTAAACAATCATGATCTATAATGAAGACAACTTCCTTCAAATACACCTTTGCGACCAAAGTTCAAATAACTATGTATCATGTCCATACTTCAAATGGTTTTCCCCAATTACAAAATTCAGTATCGTCTCCATACAAACTTAATTTCAACAACCTTCGTAGAATGTGGACAAACACAAAACATAAAAGAAATCTCATTCAACCACTTTCACATAATGAAATTAAATTGAAATTAATGGAAAGAACAATTCTTTGTACATGAACATATTAACTAAATTAACATTTGCTATTCTACTTGAAGAAACTGAACTGAAGATTTTAACATTTAAATATAACTACATCTTATTCTATTACTCATTGTTTTCTTCTACCATCTATGGTAAATTGAGTTCTGCAGACCCGACTCTTGAACTGTCTTCGGGGTATAGCCTTCATTCGATCATACATAGTGCTTTCCTACATTTCATCATGACCTTCAAACCCCAAGGTTTGGTGGTGGTGTTGAATCGGCTTACTTTGACAACGATATTTACTTCTCAATATGCTTTCTCCCTAAACTCTTTACCCTTATCTTCATTTTTCTCTTCAACCAACTTTCTTAAATGATGAATAATACTTTGCATGTCAGCAATAACCCTCATTTGTTCTTCTACAACACATATTATTTGGTATTTATGTCCTCTATTTTGCTTGTTAAATGGCACACCATATTTTTGAGCAACTTCTTTCACCATAGCATAACAAAGCTCTTCTTTGGACACCCCAACATCAACAACAACTTAAAAGAATTAACAATTTTCATTACAAAAAACGACAAACGGTCTAATATACATTACAACAACACGTTCCTCAAATTAGCAACTACTCATTGATTCCTTAGCCAAAGCACTTCTAATGAACTTCTCTTCAATATTGATATCAATCCAGTTCAAAAACCTTGGGAATTTTGTTACCTTAGTATTGTACGTTGACTTTGATGTCACAAAATGGTGACAAAACCATACCTGCAAATATAAATCAAACAACATTCACATCAAAATTGAAAAAAACCATAACAAATCATTGTCATTAACAATTACATACAAAACATGTACTTGCAACAAGTAAGCACATCCAACAGAATGAAAATGACTTCTGCTTGTTTCATTATTCATTGTTGTTGAAGCACTAGACACATTTTCAACAAAGTACTCAAAAATTAAACTGCCCCAATTGTAGTTACCTACACACCCCAACTCAGAAACAAGGTAAAAAATCATTGGAAAAACTACTTCATTCGATTGGGAAGTAAGAACTTGGATATCCTTACCAATATATACAAGCTGCAAAAATTTTCTATTGCAAAATTTGCATGTTCCTGTAACAAAAATTCATATAGCATGTTAACATCTACTTTCCCATCAGGGAAGTAGTCCCTACACATACTATGATGGCCAACTTTATTTAAATCTATCAGTTCACCAACAATAGGCAATCCTAAGGATAAACAAATATCGTATTCATTAAATTCAAGGATTTTGTCCCAAAAAAAAAACTCACTCATGTTATCTACCCATCGACCACATAACTCAGATAACAAATTCCTACCTATCTTAATACACTCTGGCAAACATAAGAATCAACAAAAAACAATCTTCTCAATGTAACCTTTCTATTTAGAAGTCAACCTTCGGTTAAAAGCACCAATCAACTTCGTCTTGCAGAAGTGTCTAAAGACTAGTTGCATACAAAAACATCGTTTCTATTTAAATACATAAAAACCCTAAATTTATGCAAATCTAATATAACCTCACATACCTTCTTCCTCCTATGAGAAGCTCCAGGTTGTTAACCCAGTTCCTCCATTACACTACACCAAATAAGGTTAAACAATATCTCAATAAGACCAATAAAACCCCTAAATGGTACAAAAAAATTTCAATAATACCAATGAAACAACAATACCCCTAAATGGTAAGAAACTTTTTAAAACAACTCAAACCCATCGAACAACAACAAACGATTGCCCAAACGAACAGTCCAACGGCAGCGGAACGGCGGAAAGGCGGCGCTTTCGGTGGCCGATGCTTCCAAACGCCGAAACGATGGCAGAATGTCCTCCGGTGAACAACGATGGTTCGCGGAACGCTCAAAACTCTGTCTAACGATGCTTCTGCTCACCGCGACACACTTCTACTAGTTGCTCCTTCTCTCTAGGGTTCTCTCCAACCCAAACAGATATTTTGTTTTTGAAATCGCAAAATGAAGCTCGCCACTTGAAACCTCTGGACCCTTCATTTCTACGTCATTTTCCTTTTCTAATTATTTGTTGTACAAATTGACCACTTACAATATAACATGTGGCGTATCAAAAGCTTGTCAAAATTGGGTGTCAAAATATCATTATCCATTTATATATAACATGTTGAGATGAAAATATTTAGTTATGAAGATGTTTGACCAGTTAACTATAAATTTATATTAATTTTATATTCAAAATTTGATTTTGTGTATAAAATTTAATTTTGTAACAAATATAATTAAATATAAAGTGATTTTTTTTTTCGATTTAGTAATAGAGAACTAATCAATTTATAAAGAAGAAAGAGGAAAGATTACAATTTTTATAGTCTACATTATGTAGATGAAATAATACCAAAATTACATAAAATTGATGTATTTTTTTACCGTATTTGGTAAATTATAAGAAAAATGATTTTAAAATACATAAAATTAGTCCTTTTCTCATGGTTTATCACGATACAAATTCTGGAAAAGGTACAAAAAGAATTTTATTATGTTGAGATTTCTGTTGTTAATTTTTAAATTATTTATTTGTACTAAACTATATTAGTCGAAAAGTCTATTATTTAACAAATTATAAAAAATTTATGACACTTTAAAAAAATCTATAACGGACTGGAAAGACTTTTGTTATAATAAGGGTTAAATATATTTTTATCTTTTAACTTTCAACAAAAATTGGAATTACTCCCTCTTAAGAATTTTGGCCTAATTTAGTTTTTAAACTCTTGAAATGTGTGAATTGTTTGCACCGTTTGACACATTTTTGCTTCAATGTTCACTAAGAAATGCGTTTGAAACATCAAATAAAGTTAAGAAAATTTGGTTAAAAGGACTAAATTCACACATTTCTAAAGTTTGGAGACTAAATTAGTTCAAAGTTTTGAAGAGGGACTAATTCCAATTTTCGCTGAAAGTTAAGGACCAAAAACATATTTAATCCTTATAATAATATATCTATAAAATAAAATATTAATTATGATACCAAAAATAAATATATGTCATTACTATTACATGATATATAAATATAAATGTAAGTTGGAAGTAACTACCTTAATATAATAAAATTTGTAAAATATTATAAACTTTTCATTTCTTTTAATCATCTTTTATGTAAGATCATAATATATTTGTCTGTATTTTATTAAAGTCATGTAACTTGTTTGTAAAATTTACTAAAATATAGGTAATTTTTAAAAAAATTACAAATATTTGTAAATACATGTTAGTTGTTTCAACTACTTCAACTTATCATAACTTGAATTTAAAACATTTAAAGCTTAAATCATTTTAAGATAACATGAGTATAGTTCAGAGCATGAACATTCTCAGCTGAAGTATAATCCAACTTCTATCATAATTAAACTAAAATTATATATATTATCACATTTCAGTTTAAAATATACTAAATTAAAATGGTGTTATCTTATAATGACTAAAACTTTAAAAATATATTAAAATAAAGTAGTCTAATATTAATACAAATTTTTCATAATAAAATTGTAAATTACCACGACTTAACTAAATTCATTTATTTTATCCATTATTGCAAATTTTGAAATAAAACCCATTATAGTAAAAAAAAATCAATATTTTCAATTCTCATTGACACACACAAGTAAATTGGAAGAAAACTACAAAGAAAAGAGGAGCAAGCTTTCAAATAAAACAATAAAAAGATAAATAGAGTATTTTAAAAGTTATAATAGTGCAACAGCAATCAGCCACTCTTATATGCATGCTCAATGCGAGGATCTTTTTTTTGTGTTTTTTAATAAAGTTTTGAAAAAGAGTGACCTCGTTCTCATTATTGTCATTATATTATAATAACATGCGAGGATCTCGTGGTACAACTTTCATGTTTTTATTTCTCAAAACACTTTACTGTTTTTCATTATATAATCTCTGACCTAAGCACAGACAAACTTAGTACTACAGAAACGGTGAATATGGGAACTTTAGCAATATCATCTCTGAATTTGAACCCATCAACATATGCCATCGTTACTTTGATTGCGACGGTGCTGATATGGTGGTTCTGGAATGCACTCAACTGGGTGTGGCTGAGACCGAAGAGAATAGAGAGACGTCTGAAGGAGCAGGGTATCCTAGGCAATTCCTACCGTCCCTTCATCGGAGATATCAGAGATATGGTTAAAATGATCAAGGAAGTCAAATCCAAACCCATGGATCCTCACTCTAATGACATCGCACCTCGTGTGTTGCCTTATGTAGTTCACACCATCGCTAAATATGGTCGATTCTCGTATCACTCTTTTCTGTTTTTACCGACAATCTTATAACTGTCAAAAATGAAAGTTAAAACGGAATGAACTGCACCTAATCAACTCATGCATACTTTTTACAGGTAAGAATTCATTTATGTGGCTTGGACCAAGACCAAGGCTATTCGTCTTGGATCCAGAAAAGTTCAAAGAAATGGCTACAAAAGTCTATGACTTTCAAAAGCCCGACACAAGTCCACTTTTCAAGCTCCTGGCTTCAGGATTTGCAAATTATGACGGTGACAAGTGGGCTAAACACAGAAAGATAGTGAGTCCGGCATTCAATGTAGAGAAATTGAAGGTTAGTTTGTGGTTTATGTTCGATTGTGTTATTATTATTATTTGATGGTTAAGGTTGTGTTTATGATTGGTGAAAAATTGAACAGATTTTAGTACCGATATTTTGCGAGAGTTGTGATGAGATGATTAGGCAATTGGAGAGTGCGTTATCTTCGTCCAATGGGTCGTCTGAGTTAGATTTATGGCCTTTCGTCCAAAACGTGTCAAGCGATGTCCTTGCTCGTGCAGGCTTTGGAAGCAGCTATCAAGAAGGAAAGAAAGTATTCGAACTTCAAAGGGAAATGCTTCAACTTACTATGACGCTTTTTAAGTTTGCTTTCATTCCAGGTTACAGGTAATATTACATTTACGAACTTTCTTACACATTCACTAGACATCATATAGTTATTATTTCTGTTTACGGGATTGAGATTAACTTTTCTTACACAAACAATCTCCCAATTCCAAGCTTAGGTCAAAATTCAATCTTCAATTTTCTTTTTCTATGTTCGGTCCAATTCGATAATGACAAGGATTTAGGTCTAATTCAATAATTATTGGGATTTAGGGTTAACATCGTTATTCTTATTGCTAATTATTCTTAATTGCTAATGTCCACGGATAGACCGAATATTTTACAATGGATCAAGGGGCGTTGATTGCTCGTGGTTGACTGGACGGATAAGAGAGGAAAGGTTCAAAGAGTGTAATTTTTTTTTTTTGCTTGTGCTAGGTTTCTGCCAACGCATACCAATAGGAGGATGAAAGCAATTGACAACGAAATAAGAGCATCACTTATGGGAATCATCAACCGAAGATTGAAAGCAATGGAAGCTGGGGAGCCTACAAACAATGACTTGTTGGGCATACTCTTGGAGTCAAATTACAAAGAAACTGAAAAAGGTAGTGGTGGAGGAATGAGTCTAAGAGAAGTAGTTGAAGAAGTGAAGTTATTTTACTTGGCAGGGCAGGAAGCAAATGCAGAGTTATTGGTCTGGACTCTGTTATTATTAAGCAAGCATCCTGATTGGCAAGCAAAGGCCAGGGAAGAGGTTTTGCAGGTCTTCGGTAATGAAAAACCAGATTATGAAAGGCTTGGACAGCTTAAAGTTGTAAGTTTTTTAGTATTCCCATCACACCCACCTGTGGTTATGATAAAATCAGATTATAAAAGATAACATCATTTACTCTGTATTGTATCGAATAGGTGTCAATGATTCTACAGGAGAGTCTGAGATTATATCCACCTGTGGTTATGTTCGCTCGGTATCTTCGTAAAGATACAAAACTTGGAGAGTGGACAATTCCTGCAGGAGTGGAGCTTATAGTGCCTGTGTCAATACTACATCATGAAAAGGAGTATTGGGGCGATGATGCAGGAGAGTTCAATCCGGAAAGATTCTCAGAAGGTGTTTCAAAGGCAACGAAAGGGAAGCTTTCATACTTGCCATTTGGATGGGGTCCTCGACTCTGTATAGGACAAAACTTTGGTCTGTTAGAAGCAAAAGTAGCAGTGTCAATGATCCTGCAGCGTTTCTCCCTCCAGTTTTCTCCTTCTTATACTCATGCTCCCTCCTTTATTATTACTCTGCAGCCTGAGCGTGGTGCTCATATCATTTTACACAAACTCTAGAATGCACCTATTGCCAAGTAGAGAAGTGTTTTTGAGAGCTTTTTCAGTGGAGAAACTATCAAACATTTTTACTTTCCATCCAAACAGACCTTTTAGTTGTTAGTAATAAATAAATAAAGCAAATTAGGCTTCTTTGAAGCTTGCCTGCTTTCTTAAGGAGCATGTGATGTTACTTAGCCATTTCTGGTAGTTTTTTTATTTTTTTGCTGAGAGATGAGAAATATGAATCTTTAATTAAAATCTATTTTAAGATCAAGTCATGATTGTTAGATTCAAGATAGTTAGTATTTCACAATGTGATTCAGAGGTTTTGTGATAAATATTATGATTATGATGATTGTTTTCTTTTCTTTTTTCTTGAACTACTGTATTCCATGAATTAGTATTGCTTTAATGACAATCTCGAAGTTAATAAGATGATATTGGCATAATGTGGTTGCAAAAAAATGCCACCTTAGGTGTCTTGGTTTTTCGGGGCGTTGCATGAGATATGACAAAGGTCTTAGTCAAATTGAGAAAAATGTTTGGTAGCATTACTAATCGATTAAGTTTTCAAACAGTCAATTAAATTGTTGATTAGAGATTTTAGAATAGTATAATCCATTAAAAGATAAAGGCGGGGTCGAGTGACCTAAATTCGTGGGCTCTCGGTCATGTTCGTCCAGTCTCTTCTCGTGATCCTTCCGTAGGTCGATGTTCGTCCGTCCTGTACGCCTGGGAGAGTACCTGTTAAAGGTGTTCCGATGCTTAAGTCAGTAAAAGGTCTGATCAGTTGTTTTAGTACTGCAATAAATGTGCAATTAATGAATCTGCCTACCTCTTACCTTTGACTTGTATTTATAGTTTTGGTCATGGGCGTAAGATTAGTAAGGTCTTAATCACGGCCCAATCCCGAGCCCAACCCTCTAATCGGTGTTTTACCTTAATCACCTCCGCAAACCTACCTGTCATGGTCGTCCGGGTTGAGTGCTCGAGTCCGGCCGGACGTCCAACGTGTTTTGTCTGGAACCTTCCGGGGGTCATCTAATATACATTCTAACTTTTTCTTCAAAATTTAATTATAATAATCAGTTAACATCGTGTAACAATTGGCTAAAAGAACCAAATTCTTTTAGATCAGCTTTTTAAAATTAGGCTTAATTACCTACTTAGTCCCCATGTTCAGAGGTAATTTGCTGTTTAGTACCCGGTTTTAAAAATGTAGGCATTTGATACCTATGTTTTGAAATTTGTATCAATTGAATCCTACCCACTTAACGCCGTTATAAATCTAACGTTTTTTCTGACTGTGTATGTGATTTGTGGACGAGCGGTTATGGACGAGCGTTCGCTTCGTTGGACGAGCGTCCTCTTCTGCCTGACTGGGCGTTCGCTTCGCTGGACGAGCGTCCTCTTCTGCCTGACTGGGCGTTCGCTTCGCTGGACGAGCGTCCTCTTCTGCCTCGCTGGACGAGCGTCCTCTTCGCTGGACGAGCGTCCTCGTCGCTCGTCCACAAACGCTCGTCCACAAATCACATACACAGTCAGAAAAACGTTAGATTTATAACGGCGTTAAGTGGGTAGGATTCAATTGATACAAATTTCAAAACATAGGTATCAAATGCCTACATTTTTAAAACCGGGTACTAAACAGCAAATTACCTCCGAACATGGGGACTAAGTAGGTAATTAAGCC